TGTTCCTGCATACTGCCTTATTATAGGGCACAGTAGGTTTGTCTCCTCTCCTAACACAGCTGGAAACAGGCAAGCTATGAAAACTGCAGGAAGCACTTTGCTCTCTGCAGAACTTGCTATGTTGGTTTGTACACATCCTGCTGGGTTGGAGCTGGCTCTAGTCCAGACAGAGGGAACTGCAGGTGAGCGCAAGTTTATCAGTAAAAACCCTGTTTCAGTGTCATGCCCAATATCAACCGGTATGTCCATGTGCAGTTTTCATTTGGATTTGAAACTGATTAAATGTGACTTTTATCAATGCAAAGGCCAAATATCTGATGGTAAGGTTTGTGATCTTTCCTGCACTAAGAAAGAGATAAGTATAATTTTCACAGGAATATTCAAGACTTGCAACTATATTAAAATCTTGTAGATTTTTGTTTTATATAGAAGAGAATTGGGCCTTTTTTAAAAGACTTATTGGCACCGTTATGATTAGCTTTCATTGTTAGCAATCGTTGCCTCTTGCACCTTTTCTTAAGTACCAAAACCAAGCAGGGAACAGGAAGGTGACTGGCTATGACTGACTTTACTGCAGTCAAATGAAAGAGTTGCTATTATGTTAAGGGATCTCTTAGCAATCTCTAAGCAGTCTACTCCTCTAGTCATCCACGTGTCTGTCATGTCTGCATCCAAACTCCTTGTGTTCTCTGCCATGTCTATGTTCTAACCCCTCGTGTTCTCTGCATGTGTGTCCTGTGCCTCCTCCCCCTTATGCCAATACTGGCAGTAAAATGATTCTGTCATTGATGTTTCTGTAATTTTTAACTTTTGGCCATTGTAGAAGGCAGGTCAGTGAACTATGTTACCATCCATTGCAAACAGTGGACATGAGATAAAGGCAAACCTGACTTGAAAAATAAATAAAAAACACCCACAAAAAAACCCAAAAGAACAAACCCCTAAGCCAGAGAACCTGACCCTATTCTGACAAAATCCTGTGGGAGCTTAGTGCGGCTGTTAAAATAGCAGCCACAGGCACCTTCTCTGCTCCTAGGCATCAAGATAGAGCTGTGTTTAAGAAGACATTCCCACTGCCTTTTTGTAAGGGTATTTCTTACCAGGAAAATTTTGGTTCAAATCTCTTGAGAACTGAGTTCAGAAATGAAAGTGGTGTCCTGATGTATAGTTTTTGTGGTTTGATTTCATGGGAAAAGGCAACTGCCCTTACTGTAGATATTACAATTTCAGTTATGCTTCTCTTCCCCAGGATTTTGAGGAAGGATGTTTTCTACTTACAAAATGTGATGCCATTCAGACAAATCAACAGGAAATCTACCCTACCAACAAAGGAAGTGTTATAGTACCTTTCTTGTCAACTATGTTCAGACCTTTTGTGGAAGGTTATCAGGTATGCTGTTCTTTGGAAATTTTCTTTTTTCTCTCCTGTGTTTTATAGGGAAAGCAGGAGAGCTGTGATACTTCTGGAGTATAAATGGTGACTGTTTTCATGGCTGGGGAGTGCAAGAGTTGAGAAATAGCAGAGATAAATATCTTAAACACAACCCTCTCCCCAGGATTCTGATTTCAGCTTTTGGCTCGAACTTTACCAGTTACAGTAACTGCTTTGTTATGTGCTGGCCCACTGTGGGTTTATAAGCTTCATGGGGAGTGTGCTGCTAATAGGTTCATTGTGCTTTCTTAGGACGAGCTCTTGCTTAATTCATTTTGTGTGGGCTGTCCTATTGGGTGCGGAAATGAGTTTGCATCTCATTATCTAATAGCTTTTTGGGGACTCATTGATTACATCCGTATCTTTTAATTGTTTTGGTTTTCCAAGGTTTTAATAAGACTAAACACATTCCTCTAATAAGCAATGCATATGAAAACAGGAGGGTAAAACCTCAGGTATGTCCGTGTAAGATTGGTGAGACTGTAGACTGTTTGAACCTCGTGGAAACTGTTAATGATCTGGTATAAGACTTGGGCTGAACTGTACTGATTTGCCCAGTTTTTTCCCATCTGTAAAACAGATACTGCTTAAAAAAAAAACAAAACAAAACAAAAAAACAAAACACAGTTTTGATTGTGAGAACAGGGATGGTAAATTAATGTCTAAGGTAACTATTACAGTAATACGGAACCTTATTTTAATGTTAGGATTCTCATGCTCTGTGTAATAATACCTTTTGAGTTCCTCTCCTACACTTTTCAAAGTGTAACTTACTTACCAATGAAGACACATCTGTGTGTAATTCATAACAAGCTGATAATCAAAAGGAAAGAAGTGCTAATTTTCTTTTGTAAAATGTTAGTTAATTTTCAGATACCTCGCAAAAGAAGCAAAAGAAGCCTTTACTGAGAAGCAGTTTATACCTGGAGTCCGCAACTTTGTTTTTCAACTTCTTGAAAAGGGTGTGTACAGCTGTTCTGCAATAGGATATTACAAGTGTAGCCTGTTAATGGTCAGTGATAAGACTTTTAATTATGTTTCTGCTTTCTCTGTAGGGAATACACAGTGTTATGAAGCATTGTCTTCTGACATGCAGAAAAATGCCTTAGCAGCTCTTGTGCAACTAGGTGCAGCAAAGAAGAAGAAAATGTAAGTAACATTGTTTTTTTTTGGTGCATAAAAGTCAGTGGGTGGTTTTACTGGCAGTTCTTGATGCCTGAGCTATTAGTGTGAACTGCCTGCCTGAACACCAGTCAGCTGAAGGTTTATTGGATTCACATGAGTCATGATGAAGATCCAGGTCCTTACTTTCTGTCAGTGCTGTAGAAACAGAATGGCATCCCCTTATTGTGAAAAGACTCCCATGGGACCCATCTAACTCACTAGTAGGTTTCTTCTGACTTCCTTTTCTCTTGGTTTTCAGAGTTTTTCCCAAGGCTTCAATAAGCAAAGAGAACAGTCTTGCTTATTTTAAATGGAAGAGTTACTCTGTGTTACAATAAGCTTCATCAGAAAATATACGCAGTAATCAGGAATACTATTAATTTTGAGGGGGTTCAGCACTGACATCTCAAAGCAACTTGAAAGCTTAGTCATTAAAGTCGTTTAACACAGTTCATAGTTTATAGGCCTAAGATTGAAAACCATTACACAAAAGTACAGTGACACAATTTCCTGTTATCAAATTAATGTGTGACATAGATCTTCTTACTGTATTTAAAAGTATGACCATGAAAGCTCCTGATACAAGTCCACACATTGTCTTCAGTGTTTCACAGAATGTAGTTGGCAGCTGATAACCCCAAGCTATTTGCTTGTGCCTCCATTAAGGAATTGGTTAAGGTTTGTAGTGCTCTTGAAAAGTACACAAACTGCTGTTGTTATGTCCCCAGCTGCCTAACTGTGCTAAATTCCCCTTTCGAGTAAAAGGAATAAATCAAGTGCAACAGAATTTGTCATCAGCTGAAGATTTGGTTCAGTTTCACATAGATAGTCTTGAAAATTATATGACTGAAAACAAACAAAAGGTTCTCTTCCTGCACTTGTCCCTAATAAAAATTGAGAGAAAGACATGAGCACTGTGAACAAGAGGAAGGATAAAAAAAACTGTAACTGTCCTTAAGTACAGTCTGCTTAGGAGTCTGCCATGTCATTAAAATTAATATGTATGCTGGTAGGATGAAAAATTGTGATGGAATTATGCAAATGTCTAATTCAGGTTAATGTCAGAAGCTTCAGGATAAGAAATGCCAATTCAGATTTAATGTCAGAAATGACAGGAATAAGAAATGCGAATTGAGGAAACTTTTTTCTCCTTTTAACTGTAGGTCCAATGGGTTCACTTACAATGTAAATCAAGAAGCTGTTAATAAAATCCTGGATATGTTTGGTAAGTGTTCTCTGTTCAATTTGAAGAGAGCTCCTCAAGTTATAAATTAGTTTGGCCAATACACATAGATTAGATGTAGTGTTTTGTCCCTACTAGTTCCTTAGATTTATCTGTATAAAAATCCTCTTTTTTTTTCTTTTTTTTTTTGTTATTGGTTTACAGTACTTTTTCTGGTGTCATTGACTGCAGCTTTGAATCTCCCTGCTTTGTTTGGAACACTGTGCAACCCAGTGATCAAGGAAAATAAGGCAAAAAAGTAGTTTAATGGGGTGGTATTTACACCATTTTGCTGATGAGTGTTAACTCTTTCCATTAGATGCCAGGATACCTGTACAGAAACCTGTGACTGCACGACTCTGAGTGGTTCCTGATGCTGTGAGTAGATGGGAGCGCCTGCTGAGAACACAGACCACCTCTTGCTGGAGCAGGACCCAGGGACCAGGCATGGGAGCAAGGAAGTGAGGTTGCCTCCTGCCCTGTGGCCTGCAAGTGTCAGGGGTCTGGAGGTGTTCTTCAGCACTGTTGTCACTTAAAAACTGTTGCCATCAGGCTTAGATTGTATTTGTATCCTCACCATGTTTTGGTTTTTAAAATGGATTAAACATTGCTGGTTTGATTTTTTTTTTTTGTTGGTTTTTTTTTTTATATTTATCAAGAGATGTGCACAGTAATGGGTACTTCAATACAGTTTTCTAGACTTGTAACAAAAAGTGTGATTGATTTCAAGTATTTAATGGATATGAAAATGTAATGGGGAATTAAAAGACTTGCTATTAAAATTAATATTTGGAAAAATATGTTGCTGGCTGGCTAAATGTAATGTGAAGCCCTTATGAACAGTGCAGATCAAACCTCTGGCAATAACCAGAGAGGCTAATCGGGTTTTGCTGTTTGGGATGGATTTGGTTGAGGTTCTGTTGTTTTATTTGTAGGCAATTGGGCATTGTTTTAATTACTTCATACTGTTACATGTAAAATCTGACAAACTCCGTGCTGTTAACAGCACTGTCACCTCTGCTCCCGCCTCGCTCCCTGACACACCTCACGGGCCCACGGCGGGAAGTGCGCTCAAGGCCGTAGCCCCGCCCGCCGCGGCAGTCTGGGGCGGTATGAGGCGGCCGGTACGAAGCGGCCGCTGTGGGAGACCGCTTCCGGAGCGAGGTGAAGCCGACCGGCGGCACTTCCGGCGGCAGCATGGCGGGCGGCGTGGAGCTGGGTTTTGCGGCGGCCGTGGAGCCGGCCGAGGCCTGGCGACTGCGCAGCCCCTATTTCCCCAGTAAGGTCGGGGGGCGGCCGGCGTGGCTGGGCGAGGCAGGGCTGCCGGGCCCCGCCGCTCTGCGCTGCGGGCGTTGCCAGCAGCCTTGCGCCTTCCTCCTCCAGCTGTACGCTCCGCTGCGCGACCGCTCTGACGCCTTCCACCGCACTCTCTTCGTCTTCGCCTGCCGTGGCGCCGCTTGCTACCGTCTCGCGGGCCCGCAGGGGCCCCTCTGTGGTGAGGCGGGGGGCGGTGGGTGAGGACGGGGCGAGGCCCCTCGGCCGCCGCTAACCGCCGCCTATCGCCCGCAGTGTTCCGGAACCAGCTGCCGCGGCGGAACAGCATCTACCCCGAGGAGCCGCCCCCCGAGGAACCGCCCCCGGAGCTTGCCGCCGCCGGCCCTCCCCGCAAGCTCCGCTGCGGCGCCGCTCTCTGTCGCGTCTGTGGCTGCCTGGGGCCGCACAGGTGCGGGCGCTGCCGCCGCGTCGCCTACTGCGGCCCAGAGCACCAGGCGCTGGACTGGCGGCGGGGGCACCGACGCTCCTGCGAGCAGCACGCCGCCAGCGAAGGTGGGTCTCCGGCGGTCGGAGGAGAGGGGGGCTCGCCCACAGCTTGCCTAAGCGGGCTGTGGTGGCCCGCGGTCTGGCCGCAGGGTGCCCGCCGAGAAGCTGCCGATGCAGCTGCCGATACCCCACCTTGTTACTGGGGTATGAGCCTGCAAAGGGGACAGGAAAGGTGGCTGTCTTCTGTGTTGTTTGATGAGCTGCGAGGAAGCCCTCAGCAGTTCTTTCAGATGCTTTTCTTTCTCTTAGATGTTTACTTAATATCTAACTTAAGGACGTGTTGTTCCTGGAAGGCTGATAAATATAAGATGCACTTTTATTCTCTTCCAAAGATCTCTTTCTGTTTGCCTTAAAATGCTGAGGATGTAGACCAATGGTTTTGCTTTGCAGGCTACTCTTAAGACTCGGAAATTGTGAAGGAATGTAGAAAGGTGCTGCCTTCACAGGATACCATTAATAGGTGAAAAGAGGGGTTTCCACTAGTGTGCTGTTTTAGAGACACTTTTCGTACACCATCCCCTCTGCTGCTCTCATGTCCCATTCATACACCTGTTTGATTGCTGGTTGCTAAGAGGACAAGTACAGGATCTTTAAAGTGTTTCTTTAGTCTTCAGAAGTATCATATGAATAGCGGGGCAGTGAAATTTGGTGTGTGCAATGTAGCCCCTGTCCTGCATTGTTCAGGATGCTAGTCTTGAAGACTGTAGGAAATGGAAATAAGGAGAACATAAGAAGTTGACTTGTGCAAATCAAGTTATGGGGCAGACAGTTGAAACATTTCATTAAAACAGTGGAAACCTGAAGCACGTACCAGCACGTAGTTAACACTGCTGTCACAGAAGGAACACTTGATGTGTTTGTGCAAGCTTTGCCTACTTAGGGTATACAGTTGTAAAGCATTAAACCAGTGTGGCTTGGGGGCACGTGGTGCACGCTTGACTAGTGTGCATATGCTGGTTAGAGTGAGAGATAAACAGAGGTGTTGAACTGCAGGGTTTGGTTTTTAAAATGTGGCTGCTAACACTGTTTAGTCTGTCTTCTCTGTCTCCTGGATTTACAGATTCAGAGTAATGTGTCACCTGTTGTGGTTTTCTACTGTTCTTAATGTAAAATCTTTCCTGTCTTTCAGTCAGGTCAGGGATGTAAACCTGTCATGGTTTAAGCCCAGCCAGTAACTCAGAACCACACAGCCGCTCGCTCACTCCCTCACTTACGCTTCCCCCAGCTCCCGGAGGGATGGGGAGGAGAATCGAAAGAATGTAACTCCCACAGGCTGATATAAGAGCAGTCCAGTAACTAAGGTATAACACAAATCACTACTGCTACCACCAATAATAATGATGATAAGGGAAATAACAAGGGAAGAGAATACAACCGCTCACCACCCGCTGACCGGTACCCAGCCTGACCTGAGCAGTGGTCTAGCCCTTCCGGGTAACTGCCCCCAGTTTATATACTGGGCATAGTTTAGAGTGAGGTGTCCCTGCCCATGGCAGGGGGGTTGGAACTTGATCTTAAGGTCCTTTCCAACCCTAACCATTCTATGATTCTATATGATGTGCTGTGGTATGAAATACCTCTTTGGCTAGTTTGGTTCAGGTGTCCTGTCTCTGCTTCCTCCTGGCTTCCTCTCCTCCCTGGCAGAGCATGAGACTCAGAAAGTCCTTGGTCAGAGTAAACATTACTGAGCAGCAACTAAAAACATCGGTGTTATCAGCGCTGTTCCCAGGCTGAAAGTCAACACAGCACTGCACCAGCTACTAAGGAGGAGAAAAATGACCGCTACTGCTGAACCCAGAACAAAACCACACTTGCTTGTGCAGTGTTTGCACTGTCATTTTTGCTGCATAGTTTGCTGTGTATTTTTGGGGGAGAAGGACGTGAAATCTGAGATAACAAATGGTATCTGTTTTCTGTTTTGTAGATGGCTCAACAGATGCAATTCCAGAGCATAATGAATTCCTTTTTCCAGAATATGAAATTTTGATAGAACCTGAGGAACCAGAATTGATTGCTGACAGCACTGTAAATCCCAATTATGAACAAGGAGCTGTAGAGACATCAAAGGACCTGAAAGAACAAGAGGAATTCCGTGTCACAAGCACTGCAGGTAAGAAGATACAATTCTAATGAGGCCTGCATCACATCTTCAAAATACAAAATACTGTAATTTTTAAGTGTTCGTTGTAAATTAGTGGTGCCAGAAGGCTAAATCTACAGTCATTTGTAATTTACATTTTTGTAGACATCCCATAATGTAAGTTGTTTTTAGGGGAGAGACTTACTAAGTCTCAACCCCAGGAGCTGTTGAAGTGGCTGTTGCTGCAGTGAAGCTGCAGGTAGCTGGGAGTTACACTGTGTCCGTTTGTGCTTCCTGCAGATAATAAACAAAAGTGAGAAATGCGGGACCCTGAGCGTGGGCTGCTGGACACTCTTGGAATCAGGAGACTGAGTTACATGGCTTGACATGACAAGTTATATTGGCTTGACTTAGTTCAGTTTGTCTGAATTCATGGAAAATGTGTAACAAACCTGCTTGTCTGTGCTAAAGAAAGCTGTTCTGAGGCTATTTTAATTGATCTTCAGTTAAGCAGCTGAAATGCAGGCACTTTCCCCTCTTCCCCCCAGATGCATGATGTGTTTGCAGCTCACTATGCAGCTTTGAACACACCCAGGCAGAGTGTTTGTGATTGTACCGGGAAGGCTGCTGGGCTCCCAGCAGTCCATCTCGAGACTGCTCAGTACACCATGTTGATGTGAATGCTGGACTGTAACAGACATGCTCTTCAGTGCTAGGAACTGAAGCCTGGCACACACACAGCACAGGTGGCCTTTCCATACATCATGTTCTGAAGGTTCAGCATTCTCTGTGATATCCATTAGGAGGCACAAACTGCAGTGGATTAACTCCTTCCCTTTCAGGCATTCTGGTGTGGATGTTTATGTTTAAAAACGCAGCTAACACTAGTAAATGGATCTGTGTGTGACTGTCACAGAAAGTGGGCCGGGGGGGAGTCTTGGAATGATTTTGGTCTTGGAATACTGGAAATGATTCTTGAGAGCAAAATGCACTCACAGGTGCAGTATTGTTTTTAGTTTCTGGCTGTCTTGCATTAGCCTGTAACCTTTGGGGTTTTTTTCTTTAGGTGAAGCATGTCGATCTTTAGATGAAGAGACACTGGAAGCTATGGCAAAACATGAGACTGAAGATGACAAGATTTTCCAGAGGTTTAAAGAACGAATAGCTGTTGAACCAGAGCAGGTCAGAAGATGGGGCAGCTGTAAAGCTTAAGAGTTTCTGTTCCAGCATCGTGCTGCACCTGGGCAATGTTTCACTGCCTTCTGTACCTACTGTTAGATATAGCAATGGAGATGCTCCCTTACCCTTCCCACACCTTAACCCTCATGAAGCATTCCCTCATCTTCCTTCTGGGTAGAACTTGATTTATGCTGAAGTAAGAGTTTAGCACCTACTTACCTGTCTAAAACAGAAGTTGGTCAGGATGAGAAGGCGTGGGAGTGAAGCCAGCATTGGCGGGGTTGGGACCTGCCATTCTGTGAGGTGGTTTAACCAAAGGAGGTAGTGAGCCATTGCAGCCTTCCCCAGCCTTTGACCCTGTTGGCTTCCCTTCTCAGCTGAAGCAAAACTGCGGGGAAGAGCTCTGTCACTGTCACCAGCTGCATGGAGGGGTGGTTTGGATTTTATTTAAGGTTGAAGAAATTAGTGATGGCTCTAAAATGTCAACTGGTTAAACCAGAAATCTCTCCCCATGCTACTGCTTGCTAACACAAGAAGCTGAAAAAAAGACTCATTGTCAAATAGAAACGTGTCTCTTCCATTCAGAGGAAACAGGCCTAAATCCATGAACATGGTGGAGAAAGAAGGTATTATCTCTCTGTTTTACCTGGGGTTTAGCTGAGGGGTTAAGGTGTACACCCAGAAAGTAGGAGACTGTTCCTTCCTCCACTTGGAGTAGATGCATCAATCCTACCATCCCCATCTTGACTGATGTTTCGATAATGCCTGATTTCCTGTATAAATCCTTAGACAGTAACAGAACAAGAAAGGATATGAGTGTCTGAAAGTACCTCCTCCTTGGACAGTCCCCCTTCATTTAGGTGCAGAGCTGTGAACAAGAAGAGCTGGGTTGTATTCCTGACTTTTCTGCACACTTCTGTGTGCTAATTATCAGTCTGCTCTTCCTTTGTCCCAAGACTATAAAATACATGACCTCACACTTCTGCGTCCCTTAATCAAAATCATAAGAGCAGTACAAATCATTGCAGTTTATCCCTGGTTCCTTGAAAACAAGCTGTATGAATACTTCCATCATTCAGATAGTTAAGAAAATTTATATAAAGGGCCTGTCTTATTTAAAGTACCACATTTACAACTGATGGACTTTGCCATGGGTATTACTTAAAGGAAGTGACCTTTTTGCACCATCTTACAGCTTTGTCATTAAGTACCAGTTCTATACCAAGATGAAAAGAGTCTCAAGAACTTAACTTCTGCTCTATTTCAGATTATTAGATATTGCAGAGAAGGAGAAGGCCCAATCTGGGTATCAGGTGAAAATATACCTGAAGAAAAAGATATCCCAAATTGCTTATGTGGTGCCAAAAGGATTTTTGAATTCCAGGTATGTGGATTCATTTACAGATAATTAGACAATGTAGTTGAGACTTAGCAGAGTCTAATTGCATAGGTGTTGACTTGTGGTTAGAGTGGGGTGGTTGCAGTTGCTACAAGCTTAACTGTGTTAAATGGCACAAAGCCCTCATTTACTACTGTAACTGCATTTTCCTCGAAGACTTTCACGTACAGTAGGTAGGTTCCCATCTGATCGTTTGCACCATCTATAAAATGGTGCACTGGTGAATATGGAGCCATCTCTTAAGTCACAGGAGTCTGGTATTCTGTATTAAAAAAGAAAAAAGCTCTCCTGATGTGACTTGGAAATACGTCTGGCTGGGAACACTCGGCTGTATAGTTTTGAATGTTGAACGTCTATATTTGGTGAATACACTTAATGTAGTGCAAAGACAAAACATAATTGTGAAGGTAATTTCAAATGGAAGGAGGCTTGCAAGTCAGGCAGCACTTAGATAAAACTTCTATATCTCAAGTAAGTAGGGCCATGCCTTTGTTTCCCTGTGTATCTACTACACTGTGTTGGGAATTCCAAGTTTACTGTATTTGAGCTTCTGTTATCAAGTAGCTTTGATTGGGATTTTAGTGTAGGAGAACATAAATAAAGGCAGGACCGGCTGTGAGAAGACATGCAGGGAGAGGCTAGAGAGCTGTGGTCTACCTCTAAACCTTTGTTTTTCCTTTATAAAAGATTATGCCACAGCTCCTGAACCACCTTCAGGTTGACAGCCTTGGAGAGAGCATTGACTGGGGAACGCTGGTGGTGTACACCTGTGCTAACAACTGCGGTGAGGAACATACATACATGCAGGAGTTCATATGGAAACAAGACTTCTCTGCAGGTTCTGTTTGCCTTCCCTCAGGTTATGAAGCCAGATCTTCTAAATAGAATACTTGCCTTGTTTCAGTGCATCTGTGCTTTGCAGACAGATTGAACTACAGTCGCTGATGGCTGTGGATCTTTTGACTGATAGAAACTAAAAGTAAGACCTTAACAGCCTCTCTCTTGCACTCCACAAGAGCTTTTACTTCAACCTAGTGATGAAGCCAGATGCATTTGTTCAGTGAGTTTAAGTAAGTTCAAATCTCAGTTCTGAACATTTAAATAAAGATGAAATATTTTTGGATTGGTCAAAGTATCTTTTCTTCTGACTGGATTTCAAGAACTTAGGTTGCTGTCTGCCAGGATTTTCTTTGTGCTAGTCAAAAATTAACATTCATTCATAGAGAGAAGCAGACTACTGTAAGATCCCTGGCATGCTTATGCTCAGGAGGAGTATGGAAGTCATAACTGAGACAAAGATCTGTAGCCTTTCACTACACAACTTAAATGTGCTTCTCTTTCTAAGAAGGTACACAGAATGTAACTTGGCAGTCATTACACGTTGTGATTGAGTGCTTATTCAAGGTAAAATGCACAAAAATTAAGTGTTTTATCAGACTTAAAACTATTAACTGAGCTAAACTATTTCTGTATGGGACTATCTATCTGATGCAGAAGCAGTTTAAACACAGCCAGCGTTACCAGAATGTGTCTGTGTTGTTATTGCCTGTAGCAGCAGATTTTCAAGCTGAATGGTACCTTAAGTCTGCCATCTTTGGTGAAGATTAAAAGTAAGTGCCCTCTGCAGGGATTCATTTGCTCCTTGACTGCAATACAGCTGAGGCAATAAAAAATGAAATCATAATGCTGAAATTGCTGTGGCAGCAGCTTTATGCCTTTGGCTATAGCTATAGTTGCAGGACAGATGGGCAGGGGGAGAGGGCAGAGTGGGGGGGGTGGGGTGGTTTTTCTATAGAATTTACTTCATTTAGGTATTCCCTTGTCCTGCCCAAATCATTCCTGCAAAAGCATGGACAGTCACACAGCTATGTTCAAGAGCACTTAGTAACATTCACTAGCTCACAGCAGTGTGGCACTAGAGGTGATGCAGGGTTTGGCTATTTTGAACTTATCCTGGCAAAGCTACATTATTAAACAGCACCTTTCTGGTAAGATCTGTGAAACCAATTATTAAAACACCTGGTGTACACTGCTATGGGGGGAGTAGTTCTAGAAGACTATGAATTAAGGTCAGTTGGGATTTGCAAGCAGCAGCAGCAAAGCCAACCAAAACTTAATTTTGTCTGGAATATACCATCAACTTAGTAAACAAAGAGACCATGGTTACATTTGGGTTAGTTTTAGATAAAAGCTGTTTGAAAGAATGTGCAAGTCATAGAAAGGAGGTTACTATTACTGGAAATTTACTGGAGAAAAAGTTTATTTTTAGTTTTCCGCCTATAAGCTTCAAGCACAGTTCAGAGGGAAGATCATGTACATTCTGACTAGTCTTTGATATTGTACACGAACACTATATTGTGAGACTGTCATAGTTGGTAAAATATAAAAGTAGTATTTTAAAGAAATTCTGGAAGCCAAGCAGAGATTTTTGTTCAATTCAGTCAAGCGTAGCTGTTTAAGACTTGCATAAATCCCATGTGTTGAAGATAAGGCAACACATACTAGAAGACACACTTCTTCAACCAGTCATCTCTTGCTTTAGCATACGAGAAATATTCAAGCTAGACCTTGCCAAGGATGTGACTGCTGGTAAGCAAGCCAGAGCATTGTGAAGTCTCTCAAAATGACAGGTCACTTGGAGTAGCGTATGTGCTAGTGAAAGATCCAGGTTAAATTAAATAAAAAAATCCCCAAAAAGAGTTTTCCATGTATTTCATTCTACCAGCTGGGTAATTTTTAAACTCATTAAGACAGTTCCCATAGTTATATAAACAGGGTTTATTGTACACGTGGAGCTGAAGGAGGAAAGAGAAGGAAGGTATATATTATATAATATGTACAGTGAGCCATTTTCATCAATAAATTTATTCTGTCTTGCTTAATACTGGAAAAAGGGAATGTGTCTGGCACCAAAGAAATTTAAAATTGGAAGAAATTTAAAAGCTTAAGTTCTTAAAATTATAAAAACCATGGTTTATGGAAGGAAGTTAGAACATATATACATGGCAATTTAAGTGGTTTACACGCTGAGTGACACAGTCGTATTTGTCTTTAAACCAACTTATGGATTTCCTATTAATAGAACTGGCATTAAAACTATTTAAAAGCTAGAATATAAATAAACTTGGAGGGACTGCTCCAGGAACAGCCCAGTAAAGCAACTCACAGTAACTCAGTAGACATAATCAAGAATACAGTTCCCCTTGAGCATCAGGGAAAGTAGGCACTAACTGGGAAATAGTCCAAGTCCTGGTGTTGCAGCTTCAGTGGAAGTCCATCTCTTGTTACTGCTGTGCCATACACAATACCTTGTAAAATATACCCCTGATTTCTCCGAAAGATGCAGAAACTGTTACGTTGTCTTTCTGAATCCCTTTAAAATAGGATAGATGTTTTCAAATGCTTCATAGATTTCTGCTCGTACTTTAGCACCTAGAAAGAGAGGGGGAACCAAGTTAGGCTGTACCTTTCACCAAATAATTTTAGCTTTTAGAATGTTTATTTGTACACAACTATATAAAACTGATGCATATCCATAAATCCCTGTTTTTACTAGATCTTTGTTTTTAACACACATTTCATATAGAGCATGTTATACCATCCTCCTCACTGTTTATGCTGATAAATGGCAAAACTTTCATTAGCATCTTTGTGGGCATCCTACACTTGCAGATGGGATTCTTCCATGCACAACTTCCACAAGAGACCCAACTACAAAGTGCAGCCCACAGGACATTGCTGCAAAAAGACTCCACTGGTGGAACTTTTTTTTGAGAGTGTGAAACCTGGGGAAGCAAGATCTGGCCGTGAAGACCACTGCAGAGGCCTGCCACTGGCCACACTGCAGGGAGATGCTTTTTCCTGAGAGTCTTGTGGGTTTTCTTCCTCCATCATGAGATTCAGTATGAGGGGGAAAGGAAGGGTGTAGGTGGAGTGGTTGAGGTGGTCCTACAGCATGGCTATCTTTCCTTCTTTGGCTGCCATATCAAAGGAGAATGGCAGCAGCCTCCAGCCAAGCTGTCAAAGAACACTGAGTGCAGTCATTAACATCCAACCCAGAGAAATGGACTTTCAGATTTGCCAGAAACACTACCTGCACTCTTACAGTTTTTTGGGCACTTGAATGCTTAATTAGGATTTATGATCGCTGCTTATATGAATTTAGCCAAATGTGTCTTCTGGTTTGTGCGTTCTCATCCACAGAGTGCTGTACTACCTGTTCTTTCTCAGTACTGTCACCTCAAAAGGAAATAACCTGTATATCTCTTGGTATCATTGTGTGTTCTCTGTAATACAGTCTCATCTACTGGAGTAAGATAATGTCTTCACTTACCAGTTAAAACCACTTTTCCAGAAACAAAAATAAGCAGAACAATTCTTGGCTTGATCATCCTGTAGATTAAGCCAGGAAACAATTCTGGCTCGTAGCTGTAAGAGAAAAGAGTGACAGTGTTCAAACATGCTTGCACACACATGTTCCAGTCTTTCATCTGCAGGAATGGGCAGAGCAGATGCGGACTTCACTGAAACCTGGGAGAACACAGCAGGGATCATGCTGATGAGTTCCTACTGGGCAACCTCAGTTAAACCTGAGGCAGAGCAGTGACAGGAACAAAGATGCAGGTTTCCCTCTGGTGCAAAGGAATAATCTGAGCAGGTGCCACTCTCTAAGACAGTCAATATGCAACAAGAATGAAACATAAGCCTTTGTTTTTTTACCTGCTGAACTGCTGGTGTGTGAGTACCAGTCCTTCTAATCTGATGGGGAATTTCACATCACAGCTACCCACCATGTTCTGAATCTTAAAATCCAAAAATTTTGCAGGAAAACCCAGTTTCTGAACAACTCTTGCATACTTCCTTGCTGCCAATCTGGATTGCTCCTCACTGAAGTGAGAAAAGGATAACCATATTATTTCCTCAGTTAAGTATTACTCAAAGCAAATACCATTAAACCACACATATGTAACTGGGAAAAAAAACAATCTGTGTTGAGGGGGAGGGGAGCGTCACATGCAAAATTTTTACATCCAAAATTAACAACTGGCACTGGTTTGCATGCTGATTTTCATATTAGGGTCCAGACAGTCAATGTTCATTGAGGCAGAAAACAGCATTATAAATCCACACATTTCACACTCTTAAAATATTGATCCAGTCTTATAATGGGATGTGAAAACTGTTACTTAAATATTCAAAGTAGAACAACTTTGAACCACTACTGCGAGAAAATGTGCGTTTCCAGAAATATCTGTGAACTGCCAAAACACTCCTCTTCATTTGGCCCAGGCTTTCAAATATGGGTTTAACACAGCGAGTTATTGCAGAACTCAGTTTGCTTCAGTTTTGTAAACAGCTTGGGATATAGTCGTTTCTAACACAGAATAAGACAACTTGAATTTCAAGTATCACCAAGCAGAGAAAGTGTTTCCTGTACAGCTCTATTCATTCATCTCTGCTCATTAGCTTATTGCTTCTGGATTCCTAACGGATTTCTTCAGAGCAGTATTTCTGTTCCACCCACTGGAGTTAAGCTTATGTTTAGTTTTCAATTCTTACGCTTCAATGATAATGTTAAGAGATCAGACTACATAGAGCAGAGACTTGGGAGCTGTTGGTCTGTGATGAATTAAACAATTCAAATACAAAAATCACTCTTCTGCCACCAGCCCTACAGCTGATGCAGTTCCACTGCAGAATCACTGCAGTTTTTAAATTAGAAAAAAAATTGATAACTACAAAACCAAAGAAGTGAATGCAACAACCTCCACAAACCAGTTCATCAGACTGTATGAAAGAGCTTCAGATATGGAACTACCATTTCCCCCTTCATGAAGCCCTTTCAGCCATGAAAGGACATTTTGTGTGGCAATGTGTATGAGTCTATTTGAAATAGCTAGGAAGCAAGCTCAGTCATACCTGCACAACTTTGTTGTATATATACAAGTACTTATACAAATGATAGTATTTCTAAAGCACCATGGTACAAGAGAAAAGACGGCCTAAATTAGTTTACTTGTAATACCTAAACATACCTTTTTGCTCCTGTGCAAACCATTTTTCCAGAGCTGAATATAAGTGCAGTAGTACGTGGCTCTCTTATTCTCATAATAACAGCAGCAAAA